AGGTGGTGATACAACCCGACAGAATGCTCTCTATGGTGCAGCTGTAGAAGTTTTTGAGAGTTTGTTTGTGCACCTTCTTCACCACAGTGTCGGTGTGGAAGGATCATTTCAGGTCCTCAGTGATGTGCACGCCAAGGAAGTTGAAGCTTTTGACCCTCTCCACTGCAGCCCCCGTCAATGTGGAGGGGTTCAGACCGGGGGCCCTGAGCTTAGTGATGAGCTTGTAGGGTACTATGGTGTTGAAGGCTGAGCTGTAGTCGATGAAAAGCACTAGTATGAATAAATAAAACTAGATGTGATAGGTTACTCTTGATAAACCAATGACGAAGTCAATTGACCATACATACAATGAGGGAAAAAAGTATTTGATCCCCTGCTGATTTTGTATGTTTGCCCACTGACAAAGACATGATCAGTCTATCATTTTAATGGTAGGTTTATTTGAACAGTGAGAGACAGAATAACAACAAAAAAATCCAGAAAAACGCATGTCAAAAATGTTATAAATTGATTTGCATTTTAACGAGGGAAATAAGTATTTGACCCCTCTGCAAAACATTACTTAGTACTTGGTGGCAAAACCTTTGTTGGCAATCACAGAGGTCAGACGCAGGGGGACCTTGCGAGCGCTGCAGGATTTCAGTCCTTCATGGCGTAGTGTGTTACCAATTGTTTTCTTGGTGACAATGGTCCCTGCTGCTTTGAGATCATTGTCAAGATCCTCCCGTATTGTTCTGGGCTGATTCCTCACCGTTCTCATGATCATTGTAACTCCACGAGGTGAGATCTTGCATGGAGCCCCAGGCCGAGGGAGATGACAGGTCTTTTGTGTTTCTTCCATTTGCGAATAATCGCACCAACTGTTGTCACCTTCTCACCTAGCTGCTTGGCGATGGTCTTGTAGCCCATTCCAGCCTTGTGTAGGTCTACAATCTTGTCCCTGACATCCTTGGAGAGCTCTTTGGTCTTGGCCATGGTGGTGAGTTTGGAATCTGATTGATTGATTGCTTCTGTGGACAGGTGTCTTTTATACAGGTAACAAACTGAGATTAGGAGCACTCCCTTTAAGAGTGTGCTCCTAATCTCAGCTCGTTACCTGTATAAAAGACACCTGGGAGCTAGAAATCTTTCTGATTGATAGGGGGTCAAATACTTATTTCCCTCATTAAAATGCAAATCAATTTATAACATTTTTGACATGCGTTTTTCTGGATTTTTTTGTTGTTATTCTGTCTCTCACTGTTCAAATAAACCTACCATTAAAATTATAGACTGATCATTTCTTTGTCAGTGGGCAAACGTACAAACTCAGCAGGGGATCAAATACTTTTTTCCCTCACTGTACAGCTCAACACTTTTTGCAAGTTCATACACAGAAGCACAGCATGATTGAGAGAAAATGGTCCCATATTGTGAATAGTTTTTTATCAGTGTTCTAGATCCTCTGTAAGGTTCATGTGCAAAGCATGTAATAAGCCATATCCTTCACTGTCTTTCCAAAACAGACAATCCCTTTCGGAGGGAAAACATGCATAGCCTCCAATAACTAGTCTGGGCTCCGACATATAATCTGTTTAATTAGGAAAGTTCACCTCTTCTTTGTAATTTTCTCCCAGTTTGTCTTTACTGCCCCTCTCTCTTTCTCCTGGAATAGGCCGGGTAGCATATCCGCACACCTAGTGCAGAATGTCTTCAACCAAGCATTTTCACTAATCATTATTGACATTTACTTATTCAGTTTGTTAGGCTTTTTCTCTTTCGCAGTCGATCTTTATTCGATCGGAAAGCGCCATCCTTTGTTTCTTTAATTATTCTAAAACTATTTTCAGTGTTGTGTTTCACCCTCTTATTTCCTTCTGTTTGAGAGTCAGTTGGTTTTCCCACCGCAACTCACACAGAAGGCTCTCCCGGTAGTCTGCGGGATCACTCCCTCTGTCAAGGTCAATTACAGCTCTGCCCAAATATATTACTATGGAAGAGAAAAATGGTACTCTCTCACACTGACCCTCTTTCACCATATTTTCATGTCAATCTTCCAACAGAAAAAGAACCCCTCTAACTCGACTTCTATTTCTGACTCACTTTAGGGACAGCCAGGAACAAGAGGCTTCCCAGGCTTCCCGGTAAGACTTTGCAGCTTCCCCAGTCTTTAAGTCTTTATAATCTGTGTTTTAATGTTAGGTTACTATTTTGCAAGTGGAGCTTTATTATATAGTCGGAGCTCCCAAATGCCAGAACGTTAGAAATAAGATGTTTCCTGGATGGTAATCTCCCGTGGGCAGATTCTGCATAACCACGAAGTTGACCAAATTACTTGAGATTTTACTTTTGGTTTAACCGAGATTACCTGGCTGGTTAAGTGCATAAGTGCCTTGATTATTGGTCTTGTTTTATTCAAATCTACAGCCTGTCTACTGTCTCCTTTATGCCTCCTAATCAGGAATAGCACCATGTCCAATAGCAAAGCTGGCTCTTTATGTCGAGAGCTTGAGACTATATGGTTCTATCTGCAAAAAGATGATTCTGTGATAATTGGCTTTAAAGTTCTGATGGTTTGAATGGTGTCAGCAATTTTTCTGTTGTATTATTTTGAACTTATCAACATGAATTGGGGTATTTAGAGTACTATATATGTAGAGAATATTGAACAGAACAAGGCTATGTCAATAACTACATTTTGACAAAAATGCAGATAGAACCTTGTAGTCCCAAGCGCTCTAAGTTTTAACATGCTTGTTTTTTTAAACATGCTCTATATTCTCAGTTTTCTTGACCTGGAAATACCTTTCTTCCCCTCCATAAGTAGTTTCATATCAGTGCCGTGGTCTGTGCAGCTATGTGCGTTTTAACTGCTTATAACCTGTGTTTAAATGTCTTCCCCTCTTTTTTGGTCCTAGGGTCCGATTGGGTTGGACGGCAAGCCTGTGAGTTTCACCCCATTCCTGACAAATGTTGAATAATTGAGTAATTGAAGTACTTTAAGAGCCTAGAATCCACCACCTTATGATGATGAGGATAATTAAGTTAATAATGATTAGGGTTATTATTGTAATAAAATCTCTATTAGTATCATTATTGTTATTATAGGATGGAGGTAATAGTGTTATTGATATTTCAAAAAAGTTTCCCCTAGAAACTCAAGGAGACGTAGCTGTAGAAATCGATTTGATTCTTTTACCACATGCATTCACTCTTTTATGCTCACACAGGGACAGAACGGCTTGAAAGGAGACTTGGTAAGCATAATTATACACACAGTTCTGCAGTTAATGTGAAACAGTGTAGATCTATTGCTGTCTGTAGTGTAGAGATACACTCCTGTACTTCCAAAGGACGCAAACACACTCTTTATGTGTTTTGAATGCCTTACAAATAAAAACGTGCACGTTGGTAAATTCTGCTTAAGCACCATTTGTTATCCAGATGAACCTCTTAGCAGGTTGTTTACCTTGTGCCCTAAGTGTAGCCACTAAATCCATTGGGAAAACACTGTTGCGGTCTGATTTTATTTAGTTGAATAATGGGATAGCAGTGGGCTGCCTGTTTTAGTGACAGGGAGAATGTCTGGCTGTATTTAAGGAGATGGGGTTTTCAGCTGTAATCCACTCTCGGGTTCTCAAACAGACTGGAGGTAAAACAGACTGAGATAAAACACAAAGGCAAACAATAGCTTGACTTGTCCATTTCATGCATATGGTGATTCTAATTCTTCGAGAGTCAAATTATTTTGAGTTTTCCAAGGAAACACTTAAATACACCTCTAAATATACAGTATAAAATAACAAATAAAACAGGCAGACCACAGAAAGCATAAATTGGTGCATAAAAGGCTCTTCTCCAAAAGAATCACTACAAAATGACTTATTTTGGCTTCAGAGATATACACATTTCTCCACTGAGGTGTCAGGGGATACAGACTTCGATTAATCCCATTACTGTGACACCATTATAGGCCCACATGAATCCTGTGGAGCTCTCTGTGAGGCTTCTGAATGAGACACAATGACTGTTGAACGTCCCGTACCCCTTCACCTCCAGCCCTGTGACCGCTGGACATATCTCATCTAGGGGGTTGAATCATTCTTTTATTGATCACCTTCCTCTCCAATTCGGAGCCTCGTCTCCTTTTCAATGGCAATAAAAACCTGTTCACCTAAAGACTATATTCTTCTTGGACGATGTTTGTGGTGCCCCTGGAAGCTGTTTCTACGTCTAGTCCTCCTGGCCAGCGGTCTGGCTTTTATCAGGCCAGCTGCTGATTTTAGGGGCCTTTGTGTCTCTGTTAGAAAGCCATTACTCTTTGTTGAACTTGGAGAGTTATCATGAGGGGGCTTTGTTTTATTAGGGGGTATTCACGTCGGCTGTCTTTCGCTTGGAGCGTGTTTGGAGTGCTGCCTTCCTACAGAAGCTCACGTGCAGGGAGCCGGCCTGGGCCAACACAAATGGCATGCCTGTCCGGGGCCAAGTGGGATAGATAATGTTCCATGTTGATTAATGTTAATGTTAATTTAATAAGCCACTTTTCCTCTCCTCCTACACCCCCAACAACTGTCAAACAGTATTTTAAAGGGTACCGAAGGCCAGTCCGTTAAATGCATAGATGAAGTCTTTCCAGTCTCCACAATGCCTTTATGGAACTCCTATGCACCAGGGTCACAGTCATGGAGTGTGCTTGATGTGTCCAACTGTGCCCTTTCCCTGGGTTCATTTATCAACTAGTCCTGCGCCACTGACAGATGTTAGACAGCTCTCCCCAGGCCTTGATGTGTAGTCAAACAGAGCAGAGCAGGCAATGACAAGTGGTTGGTACAGCCCTTTGGTTGGTGTGCCTATTGGATCTAGTTGAAGTGTCCATTTATCCTCTTAAAACATATTTTTTAATCACATGCATTGTACAGTGAAATTAAAGGTTGTACTTATAAAATGCTGATAGCTTGATAACATTAAGTTTTTGCATGGTTTTAATCTGTTGATTGATATACTGTTTATTACTTTTTAGGGTCAACGTGGTCCCAAAGGAGTTCCAGTAAGTTTCTTTTCCTTTCAGGTTTTGACAGCTTTTCTGTTATTTGACATTAGTTGATTAATGTGTCTCTCTCTCTTCACAATGATTCATTCCTCTCTCCTTCTTCACCCTTTTTTACCTACTAGGGTGAATCTGGTCCGAAAGGGGAAAGGGTGAGTTTTTCAGTGACATTTTCTGTATCTCTGAGAGCTATATTCACCCATAATGTTAGTGGTATAATCCACTGTAAGGTAACATAAAAGTGTTTATTACAAAATCACAAGGTTTTCGTTTGAATGGTGAGTCTCTAACTCACTATCCATCTCTCTCTCTCTCTAGGGCGTATGTGGAGACTACAGTCACCGGGTAAGTGAATATTAATTCATGTATACCTTGGAATGTTTATAAAGTGACTCTAGATGACCATACTGAACTGTAATAATGTTGTTGCTGGAAAAATTACCTCTCAGTGATCTCTTACAGTAGCACTGCAATGGATGGTGCTAAAATGTGCTTGTATGCTGACTTGCAGTCTCTGTGATGTGTTCTCTGTAGCAAATAACATTGTTCTCTTCACAGGTACAGACATAAACAAAGTGAATTGTGGGGTCTGCACTGTAATAGCAGTGTGTTGAAGTAATACAAAATCAAAAAAGAGGCAAGACAAATGAGTCTATGATGGGTAGCACATGCAACACATAAGAGGCAGGCAGCCCCATTATGCAAATCAGGCCTTCTCTCAGGGGCTTGGCTGTTTGAGTGAAAACAAGGCAATTACTGGTAGCCTACTGGAGCATACACTACGTGATAAAGGTCTATGTGTGGGGGTGCCAAGAAAAATACTCTTCTGTGTACTCAGGGATTGTTCAGATAGCTAAGTCCATTTCCAATGTAATTCAACCTCCCATTATGTAATGGCTTCTGTAAAGTATTTTGTTTCCCCAGTAAAGAATACTGTAGGTATCAAAGAGCTCATGACAACAACTCAAAGCATGTTGAAAACAATGCTTATTTGATATACTCTGCAACATGTGTAGGCTAAATAAACAAGTATTGCAGAGAATGTGTAGTTGAGAGGGAGAAGGTCAGAGCATTTGGGGTTGTTTAAAACCTTCAGCCTGTGCTGGTTCCCCCGCCATACTGTGCATGCATTGGATTGTTTTCACACACGTCTCGGAGCCCCCCGGCACACACACTGCATGGGAGGTCCCTGCCAGCGGGTGGTTCCACTTAGGTCCTCCTTGTCCTACAGGGGGAACCGGGAGGGATGGGGAGGAGGGGGATTAGGCTCAAGCAGGATGCTGTTCAACAGAGTGGGAGGGGGGAGCATGGGTGTGTTGGTGTTTCAGCAGTGAGACGGAGATATCAACAGTTATTCTATGTGGGTGTGTGGCCCGTGTGGGTGTAGGGCCTCTTTGTACAGGATCTTCCAGTGAAAACCCTGGCTGCTGTACGTTCCAGTCAGGCTCTGACGTTTAAGGTTTGTGGGTGACCCCAAAACTGTGTCCCAGTCGTGCCGCAAAGAGAGCCAGTGCTCCACTCCCAGGCGTACCTACCCCTCTGTCCTCCACAAGTGGGGTCAACAGGTTACAGTAGAGGAGTGCTGTTCTCCAAACCAGGCCTGGTTCTCATACTGTCCACTGTTTATCTAGATTCAGAGTGGACATATTATGACAGACATCGGCCTCAATTTTCAACTCTTTCATTCATTATATTTCTGAATGCCAGAAAATGCACCACATAATGTATTTTACTCTATTGGTTTTGTGTCAAAAAGCCATTTTACATCTTCAGTCTACTTTTTGGGTCAATTTAAGTTGGTGCGATTTGCGGCATGTGGGTGTGTATGGTGGATAGCTCCTGCAATGGTGGGAGATTAACAACACACTTGCCTACTTTTCATTTATTTCCTTCTCCTCCCTGTCTCTGCTTATCAATAATCACATACTGTATATATTTCCTCATTGATACCTCAGCATATCATTTTACTTGATCAATGTTATGTTAAATCTAGTTTCAAACGTCTTTGGCACTGACAAATGTATTTGGCAACTTCAGATAAAGTGATTTTGATATTAAAAAGGTGGGGACATAATAAAAAAAATATATATATATATCCCTTCCATCAAGTTGGAAATATATACTCTATGTTAAAAGTAGTCAAGTTGTACAGATCAGGTTCTGCTGTATTTGAATGGGGAAAGCAATGGGACCATACAGTATTGTAGTCCTCTGTAAAACTTTACCTGATAATGCTGGTGAATCTCAACAGAAGCGGCGTATTGTACAGCCCTGTGTTGGAGGATTGGCCACAGTAAGTCTGTACTCTCTTTGTGGCAAGACTGAATCCTACCTGATCTCCACTCAGCTACAACAGGACAGGGGGCAGGAGTACAGTTGATCTGGGTGATTTGATGTCTAAACAACTAAACTGCTGCTCTTATACAAACACCCAATGGGGCTGCCTATTGCTTAAACTGGCAGCATTTTATCTGATCAATTACTATGTTGTACAGTATTTGACCTGAAATAAGGTAGTGTTTATCATGGTATCAGTATCCAATCTGACCATCAAGGCACATCAACACTCCCATTTGACACCAACTCCTGGCCCCTAATTTGCACTGTTGTTACTTTGCTCGCTCTCTCTCTTTCTCTCCCACCTCCTCTCTTCTCTCCCTGCCTTGCCATTTTCTTGCTGTTCACTCTCATGTTTTGTTTATATTTCTCTCATTCTTCTTCTCCCTTCCCAAACCCCCCTCCCCTTCTCATTCTGTCCTGTTTCCTTTCCCTGGCCTCCTGGTGAACTTGTTGCCCCGTGACTTTCTTATACCGCTGGCCACCTGTGCTTTGTGACTTCAGCAGATGTTGCCCATCACCGTGCGCAACATGCCCCAAATAAGCCCTCTAATCCTAAAGCGCCTCAAGGTACATTTCTCTCTGCCAATTCCTGCCCCTTTCTGCCTTTCTCTGGATGCCAACCGCTGTCGACCTCCGCCAAACCCCCCGTAACCCTCTGTTAACCCTCTATGGCACCTGGGTGTCTCAAACCTGAATTCTGTGATAAGAAGACAAGGATAGTGTCAGAGATAGATACAGACCTGGTAGATACAGTTGGGATCCCAAAAATAAACAAAACGATACTATTTACTTTGAGCATATTCGTGACCATAGAGGGTTAAGAAAAAAAATCTGATATATGCAGTGGATTATATAAATAGCTCAGACTTCAAGGCCAATTTAAATTCCATTAATGTAAATGAAATGTCGAAAAATCCCAACTTGACTTGTTAACTGGTCCAACAAATCCTGCTTTTCTGTGGGAAAGAAAGCAGTTTTTAGGCAAAACATAAAAAGCCTAGCTTCTATGATTTCCATAACTTTAGCAAAGATATGAAAAGAACAGGAAAGAAAAGTGACCTTTTTCTGGCAGGAAGTGAGTCTTCTCCAATCCTCTGAAAGGACCTCAGTGTCCCTCCCTGTGCCCAGAGCCCAGCCTGCTCTGTTAGAAAGAGGGCCCCTGGCACAGGTGGACCCCTGTTGGCATCCCTCCTCCATCTTGTTTCCCCAGGTGTGCAGTCTCTTTGTGCCAGGATGGAATACCTTGTTTGGAGACAATGCTACACACTGTGGTAGATCCAAGACTAAAGACATAGAGGGGAAATACCACCCAGATCCAGGCAGAATTGGCTCTGCTTTTTAAATTGAGCCCCTGGAATCAGTCCGGTGCAGCATAACGGAATGTGTTCATTTAATGGAAGCACACCCGGATCATAAATCATAGCTAGACACATCCATCCTGCATGGAATTGATCATGTGGATGGATGTGTTCCGGGTTATCTGAGCCTCGATGTCAGGCCTGGCAACAGAAGCAGAAGTATGGTGTAGCCTACTCCACAGTGATTAGGAAGTGTTTAAATTCAAGGCCGTTATTGTGTATTATGAAGTTTCTAAAGTTAAACCACATGTACAGTAATAAATAATCTGTTTATTGTATAAAAAGGAAATGACCTTGGAGATATTCACTGATATGGTTTTAGTATAGTAAGTAAGCCAATAAATACATTTCTAAGAAAGTATATTTTCTGAGTTTGGTCAAGTAAAGAAAGTAGACGGTTTGAGACATAATCAATGGGATCGTATAACGATGAGCTATGCACTGGAATATCAAGACAAGTTTAGTAGAGGTGTAGGTTCTCTTTCCTCTTCGTATCCGTTCCTCATAAATATTTTAGTCCTGATTTTGTTTAGTCTTCTATATTGTTTTGGATATTTCCCCTGGCTCACAGTTGAGTTTCCTCAGATGAACAATAAAGAGAGATCAGTTGGAGTTTTTGGTGCCTTGAAGTAACACGCCACTCAAAGATCGTAAGATGCTACAGAAAAGACAGCTTGTGCCCTTGTTTATGTCAATGAGTTGGTACTGCTGAAAACACAAACTGGTTTTGACAGGATAAACCATTGAAGCACACAAAAACACAAATATATCCTAATTTGAATTCAAAGTGGTATTCTCTCCAAACATGGTGCCCAATGAAAATAAACACCCTTATAACTCTCCTATCAGTCTTGATTTCTACTAATATTGCCCGCCATAAAACTCCCAGTATGTGTAGTGCTTTGATGTGTTACGTTGGCATGGCCTGGCATCGCGTAGCAGATGGTAACTGTAGGTCTCTCAGCAGGGCGAGCCTGGAGTTCAGGGCCCACCAGGACCTCCCGGCCCCCCAGGGACCTCAGGGACCCCCGGACTGAACGGCGCAAGTGGACCACCGGTGAGTCCCCTCAACCAGCTGACCACCACCATCAGGACTGGACCAGTGACTGTATTGAGGCAGAGGCTATGGCCAAGGAAGTGGAAATGTTATGAGTGTTTGCCCAGAAGATTATTGTATCGGTGATGTATATTTTTCCTTAATCTGATGTAGGGTAAACCCGGTGAACCAGGAAAACCTGGAAAAGATCCAAGGGTGAGTTTGGTTTATGCCTCTTGCATTTTCCTGGACTTATGTATTTTCCTAATGGAAATCTGGTATTGACGTGCTTGTGACCTTTTCATCTTCCTTTCCCATTTTCTCCAGCTCCTACCAGGGATGAAGGTAAACATCATTTTTATTCTCCATAATCAACACCATTATACATAAACTAAACATAAATGGACACGTATTACCACTACTTATAGCTGCACATATGAAATGCAAATGATCCGTGATTGGCACATATCTCTCGATTGTCAAGTGTAGCTTCCAGTCATTCTGTATCTGAAGTTGATGTTAGGAAGCCTACAGGGTGTGTATTTGTGTTCTCTGTGTTGCTATTGGACTAGAGGACTATATTTCTCCTGTTTATTGCCATGGATTATTAAGAATGAGGAATTTAGATTGTGGAGCATGGAAACAGACAGGCAGGGCCTTTAAAGCAGCTCGCCCAACCAACTTCTCCATAAAAAACGAAAACAAGTTCATATCACAGCCAGAAGTTGAAAGAAGTGTGCCCTGTAACTTTTGATTGGCTTTCACAACAAGGAATACCTTCCCTGAACTGGACTGTGGCAAGATATGGCCATCTGGTTGGAAACCAGTCTTTGAACCCAAATTGAATTAAAGTAGTGCGTTATCTTTTGTTGACCCATCCATGTAATGAAAGAGGAGGCATAACTACTACACATGCTGTCTGTTACAGTGACTTTATATTAACCTTTCTGTCATTTCAGGGTGAGCCAGGCATGCCAGGAATAAAGGTAGGTTTTGGATCTCAATTAAAGCTTAAATACATAGTTCAATTGGAATTTGTGGTCTCTTGAAACTCACAAATTGTGCATTTCATGATTGATAGATATTTCAAGTTAGAGGAAAAGTAATGACCGTCTATTATTTTTTATTTATTATCAAGCACCTGCTGGGATTAAGGCACAACCAGAAGGAAGATATTTCATTTAATCATCCTACGACTTGATTGAAAAACATGCTGTTTGCTGCTTGTCAGAATGGCTACATTCATACAATGAATGTGCCGATCGACAATGGGCTGTGTTCTCTAGCAGAAGTTACAGACTAGAGATAGGAAATCCAGTTGTTGAGAACAAGAGTTAGGTGGATTGTACAAATCATTGTGATCTGTCTTGCTGTCATCTGCAGTTCTGCACCCTGTTACTTTTTCATTCTTTCATTTTCACCCTCCTCTTTCTCATTCTGTGTCTCCGTTTTTTCTTTGTGTCTTTCTTCCATAGGGTGAGGTTGGCCCTGCTGGTCCTGAAGGCCCGAAGGTATTTCTATGAACATTATTACCTGTTGATAAGTTTCATTTGACCTGTTCCACTCACCAAACTATCAGCAGGACCAGAAATCAGCATGCAACCATTCCTGTACCTCAGTGTACTTCCTACATCAATGAAATAGCACAGGTTTTATATTAAGAGCTTAAACTGCTCAGAGTGAATTATATTTATATACCCAGGCCCAACTGCAGCCGTACTCCATCCTAACCATGGGCTTTTTCTCCCTCTGCTCTCACAATGTCCTTTAGTATTATACTATACTGTATAGGAAATCCAGGGATGGACACAGTCCCATACCATCATTGGTCAAGGGAGCATTCCTCTCACACAAGCACACACACACACTCTCCCACTGGGAGCTAACCTTGTCTTTGAAGTGCTGCGGGGTGCAGAGAGAGCCGTGCCTCTTAAACTCTCCACGTGCCTGTCCTTCTCCACTTTTCCATGGCTTAATGGACTTCCTCTGGAAGGCTCACTCTCACAGCATCTGCCCTTCACTGAGCTGGGCTCAGCCAGCACACAGTGTGACTGCACAGAGAGAGAGGGGGGGAATAGGGGTAGAAGGAGCGAGAGAAAGAAAGAGGGAAAGAGATAGTGAAAAGGGAAGAGAGGGAAGAGGAGAATGGTGTAGAGAGAGGGTGAGAAAAGAGAAGGAGAGAAAGAAAAAAGAGGGATTGAGGGAGAGGGAGAGAGAGAGACCACAACAGCCTGCCTGGCTCTCACATCCCCCAACAAAACAGGGTCACATCCACACGAGCCTCTGGAGCAGGTTAAACGTCTTAGCCATCTGGGCAATGTCAAACTGTTTGGCTGCCAAACTGTTTGGCTGTCAGCAAACCACAACCCCTCTATGACGTGATCCATTCTCAAAGTCATTAGTACACTACCTCAAGTGAGATATTGAACGTTTGATTCAAACCGGGTGAGGTTGTAAAATAGATATTTCTGTATGACAATTGCCATTTAATGACTTATGTTTGACCCGTATTTTGGGGAACTCTGGAAGAACCTACAGCTCCCAGCTCCTGGTTATGTTATAGCCTTGTAAACTCCAGCTTTCCTCCATCTCACTGTTTTCCCATGAAGCTCAGTCTGGTTTATGAGGAGGTTGGTCAACCCTACAGTAGGTTACCCAGAGGACGATCAAGACTAAGGCCATAGCCATGGTCTTATGAGGAGAATTTCACCCCTTTGAAAGTTAGTATTGCACTTTAGATGTTCCGAGGTGTTTGAGTTACTGAAATGTGAAGGCATTGAAATACAAACTCTCCCATGTTCCCACTGCACCCTGGTCCAATACCTTTCTGTAGCTGCGACAAACGTTTGCTCATAAGTCCACTGCTTTCAGAGTGTATTGCACCATCTAGTGGCATTCTACAGGAGTGTAACTACATTTACAGCGGCAGAAGGAGAGGGTCTTCCTCTCAACTTCAACTAGCTGTATTTTCATGTATTGAAAAAGAAATCAAAGGAATTATTTATAATATGTAACTAACTGTTTTGTGTTTCTCTGTTTCATTCTCTTTCCTTCCATAGGGACTGAAGGGAGACCTAGGGCTGAAGGTAAGAGCCTTATTAAATCTCACCCTCTCTCTGTGTGTTGTTGGTTAGATAGGTAGTATGAGCAATGGTGTCTCACAGGCTCAATGTGAATTTCTTGGACAGTCAAAAACACAATGTGGGAGTTCTGGCTGCTTATTGTTTAGCCGACACCTGCTGAAGCACAAATAGACCCCAGAGACCGCACACCACTGACTTTGGTCCGTTAATATATTTTCATGAATGGGCTGAATTATCTCACTAAAAGCCTCGCAGGAGAGGAACCTCCCAGTGAAAACATGTGGTAGTGGGTGTGCAGCTGCCAGCCGGTAGCAGGTTGTTAATATCTAAAGTAAACCGGGAGTCTTTATCTGTAGACATAGACAAACCCTGGGCCGGTTCCTGAGTCTGGTCGAGATATCATCCCAGTTCAAAAAGCCCAAGTGGCGTGGCCTTGTCCTGTGTAATTCCCTCCTGGTTAGTAGGGTGGAATATTCACCTCCCCCTTCAGTCCAGGGACCACCATGACAGGCCTCATAGCCCAAAAGCTTAGATGTTGATGAATGGAATACTTATTTCCCTTGGTACCGTTGGTTGTCTTTTGATTTCCTCTATTTGAAATAGCATGATTGCTTTGCCCATGTCTCCATCCACACTGTAGGGAGATGAGGGGAAGACAGGTCTCATAGGGGAAAGGGGAGAAAAGGTATAATGGAAGCTATATGTGGAGTGTGGCATCTTGAGAAGTTATTTTATCACTGTGGAGTTTGTTATGGCTTGTTTAAGATAATCACCCCAATAGAGTTTGTGCTGTTGAAATTGCAAATGGTCTTTCAATTATCTTAACATTGATGTTTTCTTAAATTACATTTACATTACATTTTAGTCATTTAGCAGACGCTCTTAACCAGAGCGACTTACAGGAGCAATTAGGGTTAAGTGCCTTGCTCAAGGGCACATTAACGTCATTTAGCAGACGCTCTTAGCCAGAGCGACTCACAAATTGGTGCGTTCACCCTATAGCCAGTGGGATAACCACTTTACAATTTGGGGGGGGGGGGGGGGGGGGGGGGTTAGAAGGAATACTTTAGCCTATCCCAGGTATTCCTTAAAGAGGTGGGGTTTCAAATGTCTCCGGAAGGTGGTGAGTGACTCCGCTGTCCTGGCGTCGTGAGGGAGCTTGTTCCACCATTGGGGTGCCAGAGCAGCGAACAGTTTTGACTGGGCTGAGGGGGAGCTGTGCTTCCGCAGAGGAAGGGGAGCCAGCAGGCCAGAGGTGGATGAACGCAATGTCCTCGTTTGGGTGTAGGGACTGATCAGAGCCTGAAGGTACAGGGGTGCCGTTCCCCTCACTGCTCCAAAGGCAAGCACCATGGTCTTGTAGAAGGCAAATCAGAAGGCAAATGTTTATTTCAGTCATCACAATATGTGGGCAAATGTGCTCTGAATGATTGATCTTAAACATCATGTCATGCAATCAAAGAAACAGACCAAATGGGGGTGGGAGGAGCCTTCCAGAAGAAATGTGGCTGTTTTGCCCATCGCTGCTGACATGAATGCTTCAACAACAACTGGGCTGCTCTCATCCACCCATTCCCCCTCTGGGATTTGAACACGTGCCCCCCAGGCCTTCTCAGTCCTTTGACTTTGACTCAGTCTCTTATAGACAGTGAGCAGTGGCCTCTATGGGACATTCTCCAGTGATGTGACCGACTGATGTAGCATGGCCATTTGTTTTCTTACCTGTCAGCTCCCTCCCTTGAGTCTCGGACTCACGGCCGACCGTTTCCATGGTGAACATCCCCGCTTCCTCGGCCCGAGACACCCGAAACAGCAGTAGCAGCCGGCGTGTGTTTCCCCCATTAGACTCCACAGATGGAGGAATTGGGAAAGAGAGAGAAAAACACTTCAAGTGAAGGGCGCTTTATACAGGGACATGGTATCCACAGCAACAGTGGGGTTGTGAGAGGAATGGCTCGAATTGTTTTATACTAAAGAGAAAGTGCTTTTGCAGGCAAACGGTTCAAAGCTGCAATAGATTCACCTTAGGATATTGGGTTTGCCTCTGCCCAGGGGAGCTTTGTTCTATATTTGTACTCACAATGTTGGATCAGGCTTACTGTATTGTACAACCAGATTGTAATAAAAATAACAGGTAAAGGTTTGTGGCATGGGCCATCATCGTTAATGTCCACATGGTGCTGACCACAAGTCTGACCGAGCTATATATCTCCAGACTGAACAATCTCAAGGCCCTCACTCAGCAGGCTACAGTCGCCAGGCTACAGTCGACAAGCTACAGACGCCTGGCTAGACATAGAGGAAGTAGACAGGACAGCCATAGACCTCCTCCTCTGCTCTGCCTTCATAATGGTGAACTAGCTCACCATTACTGTACAGTGGTTCGCCATTAGCCCTGTAATGACGGATGTCTCTCCCCCGGTCTGGAGGGCTGGTTGATTGAGCCTGTTAGACTGTTAGAAAAGCCTGCTTTTAATTTCTCCCTTGGGTCAGAGCTGTGTGGGCACTCCGAGACGCTCCTGTCAGCGAAAGCAGATGACAGAGACCCAGAGACAGTGGATAAGGTGACAGTGGTGCTCAGAACACAGGGGGAAGAGGTGTTAGGGGATGTAGGCTTTGCCAAGCCTAGCGTTTCAGACACAGACTGTCTGTCTGACTGACTGAATGGGGCTCTGCCCTTCCTCTACCCTCACTCTCCCTTGAAATCAGAGAGCCCTAGACCAACACAGCTGGAAAGCACATTAGAACTGAGGGGAAGACAGAAATTAGGCCTTTCTATTCACCTACCTAGTGCTATTATTCCTTTCACTTGCCTCAGATCCACTCTGGCAGTGCTTGTAGCTGCAGTGGCCATTTTTAAGGCCGTCTTACAGTATCTCACACTGTTTTACTGGTGTATCAGAGGGATCATTAGAGCTTATTTTGAACAGATGATGAATCTATTCCCCTGTTACCCTCAGGTCATTTCCTCTGAACTGGAAAGGCCATGTCCGCGTCGTTTCAATGAAGAGATGAGCGTATTGATAAATCAAGCACCAGGCATGTCAGCCGACAGATTACGCCCATGGAGTATCATACACACACACCGGTGTGAAAATAGAACCAGGGGGTGGGGAGTGACGCTGACGGGAAGGGATAGCTAAATAGATGGGAGGAATGGTGTGAGCTGATTGGAGAAGCAGGAGATCAAAGCTTCCTGTTTCTGTGCTGTGTTTGCTGGGGGCCCCTGAGGGCCCTACCATGCGATTAAAGCCGTCACCACTCACCTGCCCTGATCCCACCCTGGCCAGGGGTCTGGACAGGAGGCCCGCCCGGCGCTTTCATCTTCCCAGAAATGGTTGGACACTCTATCCCCACGTGACGATCCCCTGACAGGTTGGTGTGAAAGCGTTCATGGGGCAGCTGGGCAGGCTGTGGCTGCGGGGCTCTGGCTCCAGTACAGTCTGCAGTTTACTGGCGCACCACCCTCCCCCTCCCTCTCTCACCATCCCTCGATGGTGAGCCCCAACCACAGCACCTGTCAGAGGCTCCAGCAGAAATGCACTTGCTGTGTGTCGGTCGGTCAGGAGGGGGAGGGTAGGGGTTGCCAAGTTGGGCGATGCCACCTGCCCCTTTGTCAGACCCTTAGGAGTCAGACTGACGCCTTTGCTCCCTCTGCCAGGGACGTTCCACCACTCCTCCCCGTGTCTCTGTTCTTATTTGTTTATGTAATCCGGTGTATTCTTGAGGATCTTGGTCATGGACATTGATCATTTGTTTTCATTACTTTAAAACATGACATGGCAACAAATAAATATGTTTTGGTTGGTTGATGTGCTTCCAATTAGTGTGTTTAATTTGAGCTTCAGTGTGTTTCGTCAACCCTAACACATGCAATACTGTATGTGTTGTCCTGCATCTTGTTTGAGAACATTGTTACTGTAGTTATTGATAATCAATGCAATCTCTTAGGGGGACTTTGGTATGCCAGGAATGCCAGGGAAACAAGGATTGAAGGTAGTCCAACATGTGCAAGTAGCCCCTGACCTTTGACCCTTGTCCTAAACCATACAGTGTATCTGAGATGAAATAATTGGGGCACTCCAGTATCTTCCTCCCTCCAGATTGTTCCTCCCCAGACTCGTTGATCTATAAATGCTTTTGAGAATGCCTTATATATATTACCTGGTACTAAACTGTATGCTTAAAGAACTACCAGCCTTCTTTCCCAGTATTCTGTCTGTTGGACTGAATTGTTGCCTGACAAAGCCTTTCCTAATCCAAATGTTCTCTAAAATACATGTCAAACCAATGATGAATATAGTGCATGGCCTTTTTGGCTCTGAATAATACTCCCAGGTCCAATGGTTGTCCTGCATCTTGATTTAAGAACCATATCTTGACATTGATGATTAGTAATTTGAAATAGGGCATAAATGTCTAAGACATGGCTTTTGAGTCTCAGCAAGCCAAGTAGATACAGTAAAAGCAAGCGAGATAGACAGGCTGTGTCCCAAATGGCACCCTATTCTCTAGATAGTGCACTAGTTTTGACCAGGCCTCTGGTCAAAAGTAGTGCACTTTATAGGAAATAGGGTGCCATTTGGGACACAGCCACAACCTTCCGTAAGTGACTGCTATAAACCCATGTGGGTCCTGTGGTCACAGCTGTGACCGTACATCATCCACCGTACGTCTGCTCGTTAAGCTGGCCAATTGAAGTGGGGAGCAAACACAGAGATGAATTAAATAACTATCATGTGTTCTTTACTATTTATAACAACCAATTTCTAGGGTTAATCGGCTTGCGGTGGATTAGAAGCTCTTGACGAATGACAATCAGCGACAGTTCCATGTCCAAACCCAGACCAGCTATATGCGTGCATAGAATGCACCAACCCCAACATGCCTTTCCAAATATTGATCCCAGTGCATGTTGTACTGAGGGAATTCTGTTCTTCCAAGAAAACTGACAAACACATGGATGTGAACAGGCCCCATGCTGATTCAGACTATTACAAAATTAATGAAAAATGCTTGTTTGGAATATGTGGCATGGCTACTGATTTAAAAGAGACAAGCTTTACTGAATACCAACTTTCACTCTTTCTGTCTTCTCTCTTTTCCCCCACCTTTGACCTTTGTGCCATCTTGGCCACCGTAGGGAGAGCCAGGTTTTCCAGGCACTCCTGGAAGAAAGGTAATTTCCTTGGAATGGTGTGGCTAACACAGATTGTAAAAGCCTAAATTTATCCGGGTACTAAAACTCTGTCTTCCTTCTACTGTAAAGGGTCAAGCTGGTACCCCTGGAACACCTGGTATTCCTGGAAAGAGGGGCTACAGGGTATTTGTGCTCTGTGTCTGTCAATCATCAGTGTTCCCATAACAACCAGAGCTCCATCAAGTCAATTATCTATTATCGTCTCATTGTTTGTCTTTGTGACTGACTAGAGTTGCGATTAGTCTTGAGTTGCTTCTATCTCCTCTGTTAGTCTGCCCAATTGGTTTGTGTAGAAGTACTTTGATCATTGCATTAGCTATGGACTGAAACATCTGGGTCTTTAATGTCTTTCTTGCTATAGCTGCTTGTACTGCAGTGATGCAGCGTCATCATAACATGTTCCAAATGTGTGAAAACATCCTCTGGTTGGAGAATGCCGTGATCTTTGTAGATTTGAGTTTGTGCCTGTGTTGAGGGAATAAGATCTAAAGCTGTGGACAAGGGGCTGTGCTGTTGGATGTTTTCATGTGATTCACTTTGTAATTTAGATCCATATAGATCCGTTGTGTCTTTTGTGAGACTAATCTTCAGTGCTGTACTTTTTAACTCCCATCAATGTAGAGAATGTGTTGTCCTGTACAGTCATTGATGACACTGTCAAAAAATCGAATCAAAGTTTATTGGTCACGTACACAGTTTAGCAGATGTTATAGTGGGTGCAGCGAAATGCTTATGTTACTAACTAGCTCCTAACAATTCAGTAAAATGTCAAACAGGTACACAAATAATCAATTTATAACAACTCTGTCCATGTTCTGTTCTGTGGCAGGGTGACAAGGGTGAACCCAGCGCAGCAGGGACTGGCATCAAAGGAGAACCAGGGACACCAGGACTTCCAGGCCTCTCAGGATTCAAGGTACTATAGCTACCCAAATAGAGGCTGTAGAATAGTAAGAAAAAGCCACCTTGGTTTAATAATATCATGGATGCCCATTAAAATGATGTGTTCTCGTTTCCAGGGTGACAAAGGCGACCAAGGTCTCATGGTGAGATGAGAACTTTTCATAACCTCAGTTGACATTTTTGCACAACAAGAAATGTATGATCACCAAACATTATCCTCTAATTTGCTACAGTAACGTTCGATCCCATCCTTTTAGTGTTGAACACTGCATTGAGGTTAATATTTGGAAGGAAAGAGGCTAACTGTCATACCTTTCCTCATCCTCCAGGGGGAAGAAGGATCTGATGGCCCAGCTGGACCAAGAGTAAGTGCAGGCTCTGTCATAACACATTCATTAATGTCAATAGGAGATTTGGGAGATTTTCTCAAATAAATTATTATGCATTTTTTATCCTTAACTTTATAGGGTCCTCCAGGTGCAGCAGGGGAGCCAGGAAAATCAGAAATCCTCAACAATGAAAATGTATGTCACCAATTATTTACTGCCTTATGTAAAGTGTTTGATTCATGAAGTACTATAAATTGTAACAGGACTTCTAACATTGTGTTTTTTCTCCTTAGGATATTCGGAATGTACCTTTGATGGTGAGTAGAGGTCTCTAAAGTCTGTTAATGATGCTTTAGAAATGTATAGGCCTTCTTTATGCAGGTCGTTGTAACAAAAAGACAGCTATGTCATCCGACAGACCATTTAAAGGCTTACTCTATTTTGCCACTGTAATTGCAATACAATGTTTGCTAACATGAATACAGTACTAGACATACAGCATATGTTTTCAATAAGTAATTCTGATCTCTCTTTATCGACCCAGGGCCCACCTGGACTACCTGGCCCTCCAGGGGTCCCCGGAACACCAGGAACAAAGGGTGAAGTTGGACTTCCAGGCCCTTCAGGTCTTGATGGAGAGAAGGTTAGAGCGCCCTCCTATTGTCTATTCTTCAGTAGAAATGTGCATTGTTAAGCTGTCATGTATGATATTTCCCGGGGGGTGCCCCTTTTTGGGGGGAAAAATTTTCAAAAGGTTTTAAAAGGGCCCCAAAAAAAAAGCTACCTTTTTTTTAAAATAGAGGGGGGGGGAAAAAAAACCCCCCCCCTTTTGGGGGGGGAAAAAGGGGGGGAAAAAGGGGGGCCCCAAAAAACCCCTTTTGGTTTTTAAAAAAATTTTTTTTTTCATTTGGGGAAAAAAAAAAAAGGGGGGGGCCCCCCAAAAAAAATAGTTTTTTATGTTTGTAAAGGGGACCCCAAAGTTCCAAAATGGAACTTCTAAAGGTTTTTCCCAGGGAATCAATTACCTTTGGGGGGAGAAAGGGGTCCTAAAGCTTTAAGTGTTGAAAGTTTTGGTTTTTTTGAAAAAAGAGCTATTTTCATCCAGCCATAAAGGGTTACCATTTTGACAAGAATCATGTTGCAACAAATAAGTCTAGAATGCATTTTTCAAAATATTTGATCTTTTTTATCGCCCCCAGGGCCCCACCGGGGATCGGTCAGGGGTCCCCAAAAAGGAAAAAGGGTAAAATTATTAGGCCCCTTAGGTTTGATAAGGGGTTTAAAGCGTCCATTGTTTTTTATAGTAAATGTCTTTTTCTGCTGATGTAAAAAAAGGGCCAAAAAAAAAAAAAAAAAAAAAAAAAAAAAAAAAAAAACAAAAAAAAAAAAAAAAAAAAAAAAAACAAAAAAAAAAAAAAAAAAAAAAAAAAAAAAAAAGGGGAAAAAAAAAAAAAAAAAAAAAAAAAAAAAAAAAAAAAAAAAAAAAAAAAAAATAAAAAAAACACCAATAGTCAATTTTGGGGGTTTGGGGAAGCGGGAAGGCATTCCTGTTGGCCCAGGGGCCCCGAAGGCCCAGAGGGGAAGGGGGCTTGGGTTTCCGGGCCCAAAGGGGGGCCAGGGGGCAGGGGTGGGGGCCCGGGGGTTTGGGGGAAAAGCCCCAACCTCCCCTCCCCCAAACCAAAAATCCGGGGGCCCCCAGGGAAGGGTGGGTGTTTTGTCCCCCCGTTTTTTTTGGACCCAAAGGGCTGGGGTTTTAAACTCCGGGCCGGTAATATTGGTTTGGAGCCTGAAAACACCCCAAAAAAGAAAATATGTTTGGAAAGCGGGGGGAAATCCGGCTGCAAATTAATTTTGGGAAAAAGGGCCCCAAGAAAGAATCAGTTTTTAAAGGAGGGGGGGGGGTCCGGGGGGGGGGTTGGGGGTCGGGGCCGGGGGCAGGGCCCCGGGGAAAACGGGGGGGTCCCAAGGGGGGGCAGTCCAAGGGGGGGTTTGGGTTCCCGGATGGAGGGGCGACGGGTAGGGTGGGGTAAAGGGGGACGTTCGGGGGCGGGCCTGGGGAAAAAAAAAACCGAAATTAATGGGAAAAGTAAGTGGGGGGAAATTTTCTTTTGGAGGAAAAAAAGAGTGAGGAGGAGGGGTAAAGTGGAAATGAGTCCAGGGCAGGTCAAAGGGCGGCGGGGGCAGTAAAAAAGGTGGGGAAAAACCGGGAGTCAGAGCGCAGACAGGCAGGTTACTGGTCCGGGTTTGAAGACGATCTGACAGGGCTTGGCTGAAAAACAGGGCTTGATATACTGGAGAGGTTAGTGGGGAAATGCAGTTCAGCTGGCAGAGTAATAGAACAGAGTGAGGCAAGGTGAGGATGGTGAGTGGGAAATGCAGTGCAGCTGGCCAGGTAACAAGAGCAGAGCAGGGCGGAGCCAGGTGGAGCTCGTTAGGCAGAGTAGGGAGAGAGTGAGCAGAGTGGCAGAGAATTGAATGCAATTAATGTTGCTACCAGGGAGGAGAGAGTGCTCATGACAGGACCCCCCCTCCAAGGGACGGCCCCAGAAGTCCCAAAGAACAACATCATGCCGGGAGGGTGGAGGGGAGCAGGCGGCGGGTCAGAACTCCTCCGAGCGGTCCGAGTGAATCTCCTCATCCTCAGAAGGAGCTGGAGGGTCACGGTCGGGAGACAGGACAGGCACTGAGACAGGAGCAGGGTCAGGCACAGGACAGGAAGCAGGGCGGGCAGGACGGCTAGGAACCCCTCTTGGACGGCCCCTACGGATTGCAGGCTGATCAGGATGTAGTCGGTGGAAGTCAGTGATAAGGGTCCGGTCCACTATCCTCCTGGCCGGGATCCAGGTCCTCTCCTCTGGACCATATCCCTCCCAGTCAACGAGGTACTGGAGACCCCTACCCCTTCGCCTAGAGCGGAGCAGCCGCCGGACGGTGAAGACAGGACCGCCATCTACGAGGCGCGGAGGAGGTGGCGCCGGAGCTGCAGGGACCAGGGGACTTTCATGGACCGGCTTGACCTTGGAGACGTGGAAGGTGGGGTGGACCCGCATGGAAGCGGGCAACTGAAGTCGGACCGCCGTTGGACTGATGACTTTCTGCACAGGAAAAGGACCAATGAAGCGAGGGGCCAGCTTTCGTGATTCAACCCGCAGCGGCAGATCCCGGGCAGACAGCCAGACCTTCTGACCAACCCGGTAAGTAGGTGCTGGGGTCCTCCGTCGGTTGGCACCGACGGCGTAGCTGGTTCCAGACTTCAGGAGCACAGTGCGAGCCTGGGCCCAAGTGCGGCGGCAGCGGCGGGCATACGCAAGAGCAGACGGACAGGTGGCATCCGCCTCCTGGCTGGCAAACAGTGGAGGTTGATACCCGTAGACACACTGAAAGGGGGAGAGCCCGGTGGAGGAACTGGTGAGTGAATTATGGGCATATTCCACCCAGAGCAGGTGTTGAGCCCAGGCCCGGGGATTTTGGGAAGCCACACACCTCAGTGCCTTCTCCAGCTCCTGGTTCATGCGTTCAGTCTGGCCGTTTGACTGCGGGTGGAATCCAGACGATAGGCTGGCGGTGGCCCCAAGGAGATGACAGAACTCCTTCCAAAAGGTTGCTGAGAATTGCGGGCCCCGGTCTGACACTATATCCTGGGGTAGGCCATGGATACGAAACACATGTTCCAGGACCACCTGGGAGGTCTCTTTAGCAGAGGGTAGTTTGGGAAGGGGCACGAAGTGGGTCATCTTACTAAAGCGGTCAACAATGGTAAGGATGACTGTGTGTCCGTCAGAGGGCGGAAGGCCCGTAACAAAGTCCAGTGAAACGTGGGACCAGGGCCTCTTGGGTATGAGTAGGGGTTGCAGCAACCCAGCAGGAGGCTGGTTGGGGGTCTTGTTACGGTTACAAGTGGGACAAGCTCGGATGAATTCTCGGACCTCCCGTCTCATCCGCCGCCACCAGAACCGCTGGCGGACCAGATGAAGGGTGCGAGTGATGCCGGGATGACAGGCCAGACGGGATTCGTGCCCCCACTGAATCACAGGTGACCTGAGATTTGCTGGAACAAACAGACGGTTGGGGGCGCTGGTGCTTGGACCTGGCTGGTCCCGAAGAGCCTCCATGACCTGCTTCTCGATCTCCCAGGTGAGGGCCGCTACGACCAAGTGGCTGGGAAGAATGGGGGCTGTCATGGCGGTGGTCTCGTCCTTCTGAAACATCCGGGAAAGAGCATCAGGTTTGATGTTGCGAGATCCCGGGCGGTAGGAGAGCGTGAAATTGAAGCGCGTAAAGAACAGAGACCACCGCTGTTGACGGGAGTTCAGCCTCCTGGCTGTTTGGATATACTCCAGGTTCTTGTGGTCTGTCCACACTACGAATGGTTCCTTTGACCCCTCTAACCAGTGCCGCCATTCTTCAAGGGCGAGCTTGACAGCCAACAGCTCGCGGTTCCCAATGTCGTAGTTGCATTCGGCAGGGGTTAGCCGACGGGAGTAGAAGGCACAGGGGTGCATCTTGCCATCCTCAGCTGCTCTTTGAGAAAGCACTGCACCCACTCCCACGTCCGAAGCATCTACCTCCACCACAAACTGCCTTGCTGCATCTGGCATCTGGAGGATGGGAGCAGAAGTGAAACATGTCTTGAGGATATTGAAGGCCTTATCAGCAGCTGATGTCCATTGGTACGGTTGTTTAGTGCTGGTTAGCGCCGTGAGGGGTGCAGCCACTGTGCTATAGTTTCTGATGAATCTCCTATAAAAGTTGGCAAAGCCCAGGAACTGTTGCAACTTTTTCCGAGACTCAGGAACTGGCCAGGAAGTGACAGCCGACACCTTCGTGAGATCCATCTGAATGCTGCCCTCGGTCACCACATACCCCAGGAATGAAACGGTTTTGGCATGGAACTCGCACTTCTCTGCCTTCACGAAAAGAGAGTTCTCCAGCAGGCGGCGCAGGACCAACTGGACGTGGTGCGTGTGTTCTGACAGAGTCTTTGAGAATATTAAAATATCGTCAAGGTACACAAATACGAACGTATTTAGCATGTCCCTGAGGATATCATTCACTAGGGCTTGAAAAACTGCTGGGGCATTGGTGAGGCCGAAGGGCATGACGAGATATTCATAGTGGCCGGTTGGTGTGTTGAACGCTGTCTTCCATTCGTCTCCCTCCCTCATCCGCACCAGATGGTAGGCATTGCGAAGGTCCAGCTTTGTGAATACAGTGGCTCCCTGCAGCAGTTCGAAGGCAGACGAAAGTAAGGGCAGTGGGTAGCGATTCTTAACCGTGATGTCGTTCAGACCCCGGTAATCTATGCATGGACGAAGAGAACCGTCCTTCTTGCCGACAAAGAAGAATCCCGCTCCTGCGGGGGAAGATGACGGTCTAATTATCCCGGCGGCAAGAGAGTCATTAATGTAGTCCTCCATGGCCTTTCTTTCCGGGGCTGACAGTGAATACAGACGACCCTTGGGAGGTGCTGTGCCAGGCAGGAGATCAATCGCGCAGTCATAGGGTCTGTGTGGGGGTAGAGATGTCGCCTTGGATTTGTTGAACACCTCTTTCAGGCTGTGGTAACAGGCCGGAACATTGGATATGTCGGGGGGTAGCGCTAGATCTTTCCCGGTGAACGGGCAGGGTGGCCCCCCTTAAACAGGTCTGGTGACAACTCCTTCCCACTCACGGACTGTTCCTGTCTCCCAGTCGATGTGGGGGTTGTGCTGACGGAGCCACGGGTATCCAAGAATGAGTGGTTGGCCAGGTGAGTGTAGGAGGTGAAACTGGATGGACTCCTGGTGGTTTTCCTGACAGCAGGATTGTCACAGGGGCGGAGATATGAGTGACAGTGCCAAGATGATGCCCATCCAGGGCTCGTGCAGGAATGGGTTGTGTCAGTTGATGATGGTTCACGCCCAGTTGCTGTGCAAGCTCAGGGTCCATGATGTTTGCTTCGGCTCCGGAATCCACAAGGGCGGCCAATGTATGAGTCTTGTCAGAAAGCTGAAGGCGGAGATGAAGCAGGGTCTTTCGGATGGAGGGAGACTGAAGGCTTGTTGAGCTCACCCGGATCTCCCCTACACCTGGTGAGCTGCGGCTTTTGCCGGACAAGTGGCAGGTGATTTTGCCCCCCCCAGTGGGGGGTTGGAGCTTAGGGCCGAGTCCCGGGATCAAGGGCCCGGGCCCAATTTGGATGAGTCTTGGGCGGGGGAAAAGGGGCGGAAGAAGCGGTTTTATGGGGGGGAGAGGTTGCTACCCTCTCCCCCCCTGGGGTCCCTTTTGCCCGGGCAAGGGCGAAAGGTAAAACGCCACAAGGGGAGGCGGGGTTGGGCGTTTTTGTTTGCCGCCAGGCTAGGAGGAAGGCGCACCATGCCCCGGTTTTGAGTTTTGGCAGGGACGAAAGCATGGAGAAAGTTGCCATGTGTTTCCCCCGGTGGGTGAGAGGCTTTTACCTTCGGGCTGTTAGCCGGTCAAAGCCAAACCCCCAAAAGGCAATGGGGGCACAGGTGGGGGGCCGGGAAAACCGCGTTTAAAAAGTCGCCGGGGGTTTTTTTTAGGGAACCCCCCCACCGGCCCCTTTAAACCGGCTTTGCAAAAGGGTTACGAAAGTATTTTTTGGGTTTGCCACCCGTTGGGCCATTTTTTCGGAGGGGGGATTGGGGGAATGGGGGCCCGGGGTTGGGACCTAGGAAAAAATAAATCTTCCAAAGGCCCTGAGGGGGGACGGGGTTTTGGGGTTGGGGCCGGTCGTTTGCGTTTAAAAGTGGGGGGGAAGAGGTGTAGAAAAACCATTAGGCTCCCTCAGAGGCCGGGGTGTAGGGACACTGGGTTTTCCAGTGGTCAGGGGGGTGGTGGGGCCCCGAGGGGGTTGCCCCACAAAAGGGGCCGGGGTTCCAATTTTTTTTGGGTTTTAGGGGGGAAGGGGGAGGGGTGCAGGGGTTTTAGGGTTGGGGGCTCGGGGTTTTAGGGTCCCCTGGGGAAACCGGGGGGGACCCGGGGGGGGGTAAATTGCAGGGTTTGGAAATAGGGGGGGGGGGTTGGGAAGCGTTGGGGGCGATTGGGGGTTGGAGACTGGGGGGAAAAACACCCAGCATTTATGGGCCCCTCAGAGGGGGGGCAAAAAGGGTAAAAAGGGCAGAAAACCGGTTCCACGGCGGGAGTGCGGGTCCAGAGGCAGGTGGGTAGACGGGGAGGACAAGGGGGCAGTCAAAAATCGGTTTTTAAAAAAGGGGTTTTAGAGCGAAAAAGGCAGGGGGCGGGTTTAGGTCTGGGGCTTTGGGGGGTTTTCGGGGGGGGTTGTGGGGGGGTTTCTTTGGGGGTAAAGCGGTGAGGGCAAGGGGAGGGGGTGGTGGGTCCCCGGGGTGGAGGGCGGCGGGCGGGGGGTGGAGCCCTTGGGGAGATGGGGGGGAGCGGGGAAAAAAAGCAAATTTTTAAGGGGGGGAGAGTCAGACCCAAAATGTTTAAGGGCAAAACAAATTCCGGAAATTAGGGGCGAAGAAAACCAAGTTGCGGCCAAAAGTCGGGGAAACCGAAAAAGAGCAGTTAGAAGCCGATACAAGGGTCAGGCAAGGAGGGACCCGTGGGTTTTAAAACCACCTAAAAAGGGCTTTTTAGCAATAATGAAATGGCAGGCAGAAGTACAAGATCCCGGGCTGGGGCAAATATCGTGTGAAGACAGACCGCAGAAATCGAGTTACGCGGAGGGTCCTGAAGATCGGAGAGTGGAAGATCGGAGAGGTCCGGCAGAAGGCAGGTCGGGATAGACGGGGCAGTAGAACAAGGAGGCAGTCAAGAAAGGATCGGTATCACAAACAGGAGTCAGAGCGCAGACAGGCAGGTTACTGGTCCGGGTTTGAAGACGATCTGACAGGGCTTGGCTGAAAAACAGGGCTTGATATACTGGGAGAGGTTAGTGGGGAAATGCAGTTCAGCTGGCAGAGTAATAGAACAGAGTGAGGCAAGGTGAGGATGGTGAGTGGGAAATGCAGTGCAGCTGGCCAGGTAACAAGAGCAGAGCAGGGCGGAGCCAGGTGGAGCTCGTTAGGCAGAGTAGGGAGAGAGTGAGCAGAGTGGCAGAGAATTGAATGCAATTAATGTTGCTACCAGGGAGAGAGAGTGCTCATGACATAATTTTTCCAACAATTGTTTACAGACAGATTATTTCACTTATAATTCACTGTATCACAATTCCAGTGGGTCAGAAGTTTACATACACTAAGTTGACTGTGCCTTTAAACAGCTTGGAACATTCCAGAAAATGATGTCATGGCTTTAGAAGCTTCTGATAGGCTAATTGACATCATTTGAGTCAATTGGAGGTGTACCTGTGGATGTATTTCAAGACCTACCTTCAAACTCAGTGCCTCTTTGCTTGACATTTTCTGCAAGACCTCAGAAAAAAAATTTGTAGACCTCCACAAGTTTGGTTCATCCTAGTATGCAGGTATAAACACCATGGGACCACGCAGCCATCATACCGCTCAGGAAGGAGACACGTCCTGTCTCCTAGAGATGAACGTACTTTGGTGCAAAAAGTGCAAATCAATCCCAGAACAACAGTAAAGGACCTTGTGAAGATGCTGGAGGAAACAGGTACAAAAGTATCTATATCCACAGTAAAACGAGTCCTATATTTGACATAACCTGAAAGGCCGCTCAGCAAGGAAGAAGCCACTGCTCCAAAACCGCCATAAAAAAGCCAGACTACAGTTTGCAACTGCACATGGGGACAAAGATTGTACTTTTTGGAGAAATGTCCTCTGGTCTGATGAAACAAAAATAGAACTGTTTGGCCATAATGACCATCGTTATGTTTGGAGGAAAAAGGGGGTTGCTTGCATGCCGAAGAACACCATCCCAACCGTGAAGCACGGGGTAGGCAGCATCATGCTGTGGGGGTGCTTTACTGCAGGAGGGACTGGTGCACTTCACAAAATAGATGGCATCATGAGGAAGGAAAATTATGTGGATATATTGAAGCAACATCTCAAGACATCAGTCAGGAAGTTAAAGCTTGGTCGCAAATGTGTCTTCCAAATGGACAGTGACCCCAAGCATACTTCCAAAGTTGTGGCAAAATGGCTTAAGGACAACAAAGTTAAGGTATTGGAGGGGCCATCACAAAGCCCTGACCTCAATCCTATAGAAAATGTGTGGGCAGAACTGAAAAAGAGTGTGCGATCAAGGAGGCCTACAAACCTGACTCTGTTACACCAGCTCTGTCAGGAGGAATGGGCCAAAATTCACCCAACTTATATATATATATATATATATATATATATATATATATATATATATATATATATATAGTGGGCTACACTCATCAGACCATGTAGCCAAAACCCACCCCAAATACTGCACCATACTGCAGGGTCTAGGAGACTATATTTTGCTTCACCATTCTTTTATGATTATTTGTGTTAATTATATTAACATACTATATGTGTGTGTTTATTAACCATTAAATAACTGCTTGCGAGAAATTGTGTGATTGTCTTGCATCGTCTGAGTGTGTAGACACTGAGTAAGAATGGGCAGCATTGCGTCCCTCATTATGGGCAGTTTCATGCCCTTACAGCCAGAATCTGGAGGTAACCAAACAAAACTCAAAAACTGTATGCGATATATTTGCCAACGGTTTTGGCACATTCAAGATTAATGTTAAGTTTTAACATCTGACAGAAAATTTTAAATAATCTATTTTGTATTAATTGACACTCTAATATGGAAATGAACCAAAACTAATTCCTGATTTGAACACACTGACAATATTTCACTATTTCCCCTTTCCTTGTTCTGTAGGGTTTAGATGGCCCTACTGCTGAAAAGGGGGTTTCTGGGCCCCCTGGCCCCATTGGATTACCAGGCGCAATGGTACGCAATGGTGCCCCTCAGACTGCATCTGACCATACAGTATGCAGTGTCTGACCTGGCATTGGGGAGCAGTGAAATACTGTTCACAATACTATTCATCTGTACAATGTTGATTGGGTGTACAGTAGTGTTTTATTCATGCTAGCCATGATGTGAGTAGCCTATGTTAACCTTGTATTCATGTGACTTGATGCTTCAGGGTCAGAAGGGCGAGTCTGGAGATAAGGGAGGAAGGTCAGACATGGTAAGGGCTCCCCTTCACTGTGTATCTCATGTGTTTTTAATTACCCAGGCGTGTTTGAGTGAACTTGAGAGGGGTCAGATTCAGAGGACGTGATGTTAGAGTGAACCCACTAATGAGGAAGTGTATGCATTAATGTCTTTAGGTCTATGGGCCTCCAGGGCCTCCAGGGCCCCAAGGACCAGTTGGCCCCGCGGTGAGTACACTACAGTTTGCATGCTATTAGGTAATATAAGCCCTCAGAAATATCTATAAAACCTACTGATAATATGTCATATTTACATGAAGTGATTGACAGGAATTGTTTATTTTACCCCTCAGGGACCTGAGGGACTGGGAGGGCCAAAGGTAAGAGTTGATTGTGGTAGCTTCTGTTATGTCTTACTGTACCTCCAGAATCCTTTGATACTGTAGTGTTCAGTACTCTCTCAAATCAGTGGTTTTAGTAAGTTAGTGTAATGCCTATGTAGTAAACGTGAATCATGTATTTTCTGTGCCTCTTTTAGGGGGAGCCAGGCATAGGCATACGGGGAGAGAAGGGAGCATCTGGTTCGAAGGGCGATAAAGGGGACAGGGGCCATCTTGGACTTCCTGTAAGTACACCAATTTTACCATCCCTTTGACCATTTTACCATTATAAGTTGTATTTCGACTCCTGGAAACCAAAATAGAGTGGGCGTACTGTTTGTTCAGGCTTTTGTGTCTTAGAACCAGGCAGCATGACTGTTCTGATGTTGTCATGTCGCTTTATAACTAGGCCTAACCAAGGATGGTTTGATGGCTCAATAGTTGCATTAATGTTTTCAAAGTGCATGGATGGATGGTTGCTGCAATCCAATACATAAGGGCAATAAAAATCACTAATATGAAAACTAAAAAATGTAATCTACAATACACATTACCATTGTCATATTTTTCAGATAACTCAGTAATGATAATTATGTGATAGAAAGAGTTAATGATAATTTTCTTCATTATGCCAACTTTTGTTTCGTTTTCTGATAATCTCTCTGAAATTCTGTAAAATGTAGTCTCTTTTAGTTCTATTTTTAGTTGCATGTTAAGGAATACGTTTGATATGTATCACTGGGGGGTCTCTTCCTTACTTCTGGTTTACTTCTTGGGAGTCAAAGGTCATTGTTGATATTCAGTACATGTTCTAGTCACATCATCAATGGCACAGTAACTCCTTTTATATGGAAATGATGAGGGATATTATGTATATGCTAATCAATGTTGATACAAGACATGCTATTTTAAAATCATCATAGACACTCATATCTTCACACTTCTCTGCACTCAAATTCAAACTGCTTTCTATATGGGCATCAACCATAGAAAGAAGTTGAACCATGCTTATGTTTCTGAAAAACACTATTTTATCTAAGGTCAGGACTTAATTATTTGATAGTGATAATCAACTGCACCTATAAAAGGAGTTACTGACGGTAACTGTTTCTCACGTCATCACAACACAATCACCCTTCATCAACAACTGGATGTGTTTTTGAGTCACACAAATCACTGCTTCACTCACTCACTCACTCACCCCCTACCCTCTCCCCCCTCCACACCTCCTCCACCCCTTCTCCAACCACCTCCCTTCCATCTCTCCATCTTTGCTCTCTAACTGTTTACACCCTGTCCAGGGGGCTCATGGTTTAGACGGCAGGCCTGGTCCAGTGGTGAGTGGCGCAAGTCCTGTACCCACCCAACACACATTCCTCCCCTACCCCACCTCCTCCTCTATTGTGCTCCCCCCATGGCTTGCTTGCATGTCTGTCTGCGCTGGTGTCTTGTCTGTCTGCCTGCTTGCCTTTCCTCCATGCTTGTCCTGTCTGTCCTGTCTTGTAGTCTGTCTGGTTGTCTGCAGAGAGAGCAGTTCAGTTTTTAGTAATTTTTTTTGAGGATTGCTCTGGCATAGGGATGATGTTCACATGACTGTGTCCCATGTCTGTCTGGCATTGGAACGTGTTAGGGTACTAAAATGGGCCATTTGATGCTTCTGCTCTTAGTGTGTATATGCTTTAAAGTAGTAAAGTGAAATAAATACTCCCCCTTGTACATAACAGCCTGAATCCTAACTTGAGATTTGCATGGGTAACCCAGACTTTTGCGTAAATCATGTGTTGACGTCAATGGAAGATTTATAAGGACAATTGAGTTACGCATTCAGATCTCAAGATTCAGCCTACTTGCATAAAGTCATGACAAACTGTTTGAGTGTCAGAGTCCATGCCATTGCAAATCTTCAAAACATACCGTTGTAATTCTCCTATGATCGTATGCAAGCAGTGTAAAGCTTTGAACTGGCATTGTGATGTCATACCAGGAGAGCATGCTGGGATGCTCATGCTGCATGTTGATATGTATACAGGACAGTATGGCAGTATGGCTCTGTCATGCAATATGCTGTACATGCTGTACTATCTGCCTGAGATGCAAGGTCCTCCTGTCGAATCCTGACTTCCACAGGGAGAAAGAGCTGCAGCTGACCTCTTTTACTCATCATTAATGTTTTTCTCCTTTTTTGTTACTGTTCATTGTTTACCTCAACAAGCTTGGTGTAACAAGCACAGTGGGGTAACCTAGAGAACACCACTACCTAATCAATCAATAGGTTATTATTTAATAATAATTAACATAAACAGAATTGGGTAACTCCTCTTTTGGCACGTAAGTGCTCCAGAAAGCTTGTTGATCTATTAATGATGGAAATGCAATAATCTCTTTCCTTTTAATATCCTCCCATTGTAATGTCTGCATTCACTGATTGTCGTCTTGTCCTTAAACTTAAAGGGTCTGATAGGGCCAGTTGGTGTGGCAGGGCCAGCAGGACTGAAGGGAGATAGAGTGAGTACTTACATCACACACACACACACACACACACACACTAAAGTAGCACATACACATCACATAAGAGCTATCAGTCAAAACAGAGCTTATTTATCTATTTGAGATTAATTATTTATTTGTTATTTTTCTATCAATTCAGGGTTACAAGGGAGATTCCGGAGTCCCAGGACCAATTGGGCCTCAAGGCATCCCTGTAAGTAGTTTGTCCAATTACCTAAGTTTCAATAACATCAAATGAATACAGTATTGCATTTACAGCATTTCATTTCTCGATATCTGAAATACAATCAACGTTGAACGAGGAATTTGGAACATAGCATCATTAGTACTTTAAACAATCTCTTAATTAAGTCTGAGGAATAATAATAAATAATATGCCATTTAGCAGACGCTTTTATCCAAAGCAACTTACAGTCATGTGCACATACATCTTTACGTATGGGTGGTCCCGGGAATCGAACCCACTACCCTGGCGTTACAAGCGCCATGCTCTACCAATTGAGCTACAGAGGACCACAGGAAATTGATAGATCAAATTGATTGACAGCACAAAGCTATGACCACAGGAAATTGATAGATCACATTGATTGACAGCACAAAGCTATTACCAACTCAGTGGCCTTGTGGTTAACGTGTCTGGCCTGAGATTGGAGGGTTGGGAGTTCGATCCCTGTCCGAGTCATACCAAGCACTGTAAAAATGGGATCCGATGTGTCACTAAGGAAATAGATTGGGGGTAAGGCCCTGCGATAGTGTTCTGTCCGGGGGTGTACTTGTACATCAAGCTTCCTCACACGAGGAGATAGGCTCTGCAAGGCTACTTACTTCACTTACAAAGCTATTACTCAAGGTAATGTCTCTGATTGCTTGCACAGGAAATCATATTGTGTTTAATTTCCTCTTCTCAGGGTTTAGTAGGACCACAAGGATTCAAAGGGAACCGGGTAAGATAACAGCTGATAATTATGTGCTTGTAATGCTCTCTTGGAGTACAATGTGCTTCTAACCAGAGGACAATACCTCTGATAAACTATGGGATTTAAAATTGCTGCTGAACCTCCATGCTCCTACTCCACTCAACACTAGATATACTCCCAACCAAAATGAGCGAAGGTATTCTTCATTGAAAAGTACTAATCTGAAAGACTATAGTCATTTTTCATTTGTCTTTTTGGTTATTCAAGATCCATAATAGAATGTAGTCCCCTGTAGCTCAGTTGGTAGAGCATGGCGCTTGCAACGCCAGGGTTGTGGGTTCGTTTCCCACGGGGGGCCAATATGACAAATGTATGCACTGGATAAGAGCGTCTGCTAAATGACTAAAATGTAAAATAATAGTTAATCATCAATCAATCATTTGGAAGCCCATTGGGATGTCATGTTTATTAAGCTTAAAAGCATGGTGGGCCTGTATTAGGTGATATGAGCAGGCCCATGGTGGATTCAAAGGCTCTCTTAAGTAGGCAAATCTGAATCAAAATGTTATTTAAATATCAATAACCTCATCTTCTGAATATCCTATGTGAAAAATGTGTGAAAAATAGCCTATGATGAGTCGTATAGTGAAAGTGACCTTCAATGGTGTTTTTAGTGATGTTTGAAAAAATTATATTCATACAGTGAGGGAAAAAAGTATTTGATCCCCTGCTGATTTTGTACGTTTGCCCACTGACAAAGACATGATCAGTCTATAATTTTAATGGTAGGTTTATTTGAACAGTGAGAGACAGAATAACAACAAAAAAATCCAGAAAAACGCATGTCAAAAATGTTATTAATTGATTTGCATTTTAATGAGGGAAATAAGTATTTGACCCCTCTGCAAAACATGACTTAGTACTTGGTGGCAAAACCCTTGTTGGCAATCACAGAGGTCAGACGTTTCTTGTAGTTGGCCACCAGGTTTGCACAGATCTCAGGAGGGATTTTGTCCCACTCCTCTTTGCAGAACTTCTCCAAGTCATTAAGGCTTCGAGGCTGACGTTTGGCAACTCAAACCTTCAGCTCCCTCCACAGATTTTCTATGGGATTAAGGTCTGGAGACTGGCTAGGCCACTCCAGGACATAATGTGCTTCTTCTTGAGCCACTCCTTTGTTGCCATGGCCATGTGTTTTGGGTCATTGTCATGCTGGAATACCCATCCACGACCCATTTTCAATGCCCTGGCTGAGGGAAGGAGGTTCTCAACCAAGATTTGACGGTACATGGCCCCGTCCATCGTCCCTTTGATGCGGTGAAGTTGTCCTGTCCCCTTAGCAGAAAAACACCCCCAAAGCATAATGTTTCCACCTCCATGTTTGACGGTGGGGATGGTGTTCTTGGGGTCATAGGCATCATTCCTCCTCCTCCAAACACGGCGAGTTGAGTTGATGCCAAAGAGCTCGATTTTGGTCTCATCTGACCACAACACTTTCACCCAGTTCTCCTCTGAATCATTTAGATGTTCATTGGCAAACTTCAGACGGGCATGTATATGTGCTTTCTTGAGCAGTGGGACCTTGCGGGCGCTGCAGGATTTCAGTCCTTCACGGTGTAGTGTGTTACCAATTGTTTTCTTGGTGACTATGGTCCCAGCTGCCTTGAGATCATTGACAAGATTCTCCCGTGTAGTTCTGGGCTGATTCCTCACCGTTCTCATGATCATTGCAACTCCACAAGGTGAGATCTTGCATGGAGCCCCAGGCCGAGGGAGATTGACAGTTATTTTGTGTTTCTTCCATTTGCGAATAATCGCACCAACTGTTGTCACCTTCTCACCAAGCTGCTTGGCGATGGTCTTGTAGCCCATTCCAGCCTTGTGTAGGTCTACGATCTTGTCCCTGACGTCCTTGGAGAGCTCTTTGGTCTTGGCCATAGTGGAGAGTTTGGAATCTGATTGATTGATTGCGTCTGTGGACAGGTGTCTTTTATACAGGTAACAAACTGAGATTAGGAGCACTCCCTTTAAGGGTGTGCTCCTAAACTCAGCTCGTTACCTGTATAAAAGACACCTGGGAGCCAGAAATCTTTCTGATTGAGAGGGGGTCAAATACTTATTTCCCTCATTAAAATGCAAATCAATTTATAACATTTTTGACATGCGTTTTTCTGGATATTTTTGTTGTTATTCTGTCTCTCACTGTTCAAATAAACCTACCATTAAAATTATAGACTGATCATTTCTTTGTCAGTGGGCAAACGTACAAAATCAGCAGGTGATCAAATACTTTTTTCCCTCACTGTATGTCCTTTGCCTTTCTGAGGCGAATGTATTTGTTTTGCAGTGGCCTTTTTACCTCAGAGTTCAATTCATCTTGTTAAAATATGCAAATATGACTGAGGTAGTATAAATTAAGACAGGGGATCAAAAGAGATTGAAGATGTTTGTACTTGATAATGAGAGGACTGGAACATGTGAATGGACACATCAAAGACCTTAGAAAATTACATGCTGTTTACTTTGAAGACAAGTCAAAAAGGTGTCCTCTTTTACATTGTCCGACCTAGATTTACCTTGTACTGTCGTATCTGAACATTTTATTCTTAAAGTAATCACAGAATGCTACACTCTCATTTTGTAAAATAGCCACTGCAAAAAAATAAAAATGTATCTGCACTTTAATTATACCAATGTTTTAAATAATATTTGGTTAATATACACATGTCCCCCCTTCCCCTTGGAGAATGTTTGTTTCCTTCCTATTAACATGACTTAATATTCTGACTCCCACCTTAAAAGTCACGACATGTCATTGACCCTCTCAGCACTTCCAACTGGGCTCATGTCAGCAGGAAATATCTGACATTGACAGTTATGGCTACTTCCTATCTGTGGATCAAATGTATTTGCTGCTCAATTGGGGTGTAAAGAAGGGGAAAAGAGATTGATATTATGAGGTATTTTGCTATACCAGTTGGAGGTGCTGTGGCCGGCTGTGGGATCGTGGTGCTGTTTTTACTCTTGTCCTGTCTTCCTTTGTTTCCGCAGGTCTTCCTATCCCCTTTTCCTCCCCTCCACCCTGCTCTGTTTCCCGTGGCTCTTTTTACCGGGTCGTGTTGCCCTCTCTCTCCCTCTCACACACCCTGGCAACCTGCTCCTCCTGCATTCTAATGTCGTAGTCCCGGGTTAATCTTCTTCCTCCTCCTTCTACTCCTCCTCCTCTTACCACTTACCTTCCCTGCAAGCCTGCCTGTAATTTCCTTTCCCTTGACTGACAGGTAATGTTCTCACAACGTTGCCACAACGTTAGCCAATGTTGATGGTTTTCAGGCAACGTTGAGGCAACGTTGTGAGAGCATTATATGTTAGCCAGGGTTTATTATCCTTCCAATTCCAATTCCTTCTTGATAAACTCGTCCAACCCCTAATCCAACCCCTTCAAAGGCCTTGATCTTGGTGAGCGAATGTTTGAATAATAATGTGGTCAGGTTTTATCCATATATAATATCTATAATAGTTTACAAGGTTCGCTTTGGTTGGAAATATGATACAATAAGTACTAGCCTCCTTTATTTGATCTGTTCCCAGTAGACAACTAGGTTAATGAATTCTGAATTTATTGTAAATCACACATTCTCATGGAGGCACGATCCAATAGATCCACCTAATATAGGCTGTAGGTGCATTATGTAACAATTCCACGTGTAGCCCTTCACGTCCATTATATAACTGCAACTTCAGCAGTAAAGGAATGCCATTTCTTGAGAGTAAAAATATTAGCTTTTGAAGTACTGTAAGTGGCTTGTTTACTTGTTGCCAGCTAGTAGCCTGTCCAGCCACCTTCAGTGTACACAAACAAACAGTGTATTTTTCCGCTGTTTCACAATTGAAATAGTCTTTTTTGGATTTGGATAAGGGAAAATAGTAGAACTACCGGTATGAACTATTCGGTATTTCTATGCCATATTTTGCACAATGCTTGGTAGAATGCAATTATTAATGCAATTGTGTATTGTTGGACAACTGGACATAATCAATGTTGTCTTTACTCAAAGGATGGCTTGTGGTCAAGTTCTTTGCCAGGCCTTGAGTACAATATCTGCAATGAAACTCGCAATAGATGACAGTGCACCACAGAGAGCTCAGCAAATTTGGTAATAGCCTGCTTTATAAATATGATATGACAATTAAGATATTGTTGTGGTACTGTATGGCTCATGAATGTTATGTTGTGTTAGGGCTAGTGATACCCTTATAATATGCTATAGTAGTTGATGAACCAATGAAATGTTTCCATCCCTGCAACAAGTCTGTGAGTATTACCTTAGGCACTAAAGGAACCCGCTCACCAATAGCATTGGCCTGTATCGCTACTCCCTAACTCCCTCCACTTACTTTCCCCACCACTAAATTCTTAAACTTCAGTACTCTTCTTCGTAAGCCCAAAAAAGCACATCATCCTTACTTTTATGGTCTTTCAATATCTGTAAAATGTCTAAATTACTTAGGTAAGAATTCAAGCTTCATGATTTCAAAAAGCAAACATATTTGCTTACCGTGTGGGCGAGCCAGCCAGGAGGAACTAAAAGCCTGTCTCTTGTAATGCACTGTTGTTTGCAGGGAGAGAGGGGCAAGAAAGGCAACAGGGGAACCAAAGGGGATAAGGGGGACCAAGGAGCACCCGGATTAGATGCCCCCTGTCCGTTGGTATGTCCTGCGTTCAATGTGCAGCCAGGAGGCAAAAGGAAGGAGCGACCCTCAGAATATCACATCACCTGCACTGACAACCAGGAGTCTCTGGATTCTGATCCTGACTTCCTTTTGCCTCTTAACCGACTCTAATAGACCCTGAAGTGGTTTTGGTCCAAGCGTCCTCTACAGTATTAGTCCAGAGATACAAACTGCAGTAGTGATAATGATTTGGTATTCATTGAATGACTGGATGATTATTAGTTAATTATTAGAATAATCACCCCAGGATCAGGGACCATGAACCATCTAAGGCGGTTTTCTTTTCAGGGTTAAGACTAACAGAAACATGGCCCACTTACTCCAGTGAGTCTGTTCCTGTCAGTCCCAGGCCGCCTGCATGTTTAGGTGTGTCTGTAGCTACAGGCTTCGGTCTGCTAACGGAGCGGCAGCAGGTCCTCTCATCGGCCAGCAGGGGGTACTGCTGCTAAAGGAGGGGCAATGTGCAGATGTTTACAAGGTTGATTTCACGAACAGGGTTTCCGAGGCTTTAAAGGAGAAAAGGGTGAACCAGGCCTACCTGGCCTGGACGGGCTGGATGCCCCTTGTCCTGTGGTATGCTTCCGCTCTCCCTTCCCTATCCAGCATGCTTTGGCTTCCCTAACCACCCCCTAACAATTCCATTCATTTTCTTATTCACTTTAGGCATAAGTAACAGGCAATATAACAGGGCTGCCTGAGCATAACATTGAACTAACACAATAGTACAGTTAGTTATGTAAAAATATTTTTACAAATAAAGTCTGTTTTACGGGTTCTTGACCAATTCTGCTATTTTGAGGTTTTGCACTGATCTTAACTTTTTTGGTACATAATGTTTCCGCCATCGTTTCCTATGACCGAAAAAAGCTTCTGGACATCAGAACAGCGATCACTAACCTCGATTTGGATGAAGATTTCTCCTTCAACGAGTCGGCAGCGCAGGACATACTGCTTACCCCAGACCAGGCCCTAATCCCCGACACTCGGAAGAGAAAGAGACTGCGATATAGAGGCCGACGTGCGGGCACCCTGATGAAGCTACGACGGAGAGTAAATAAACCCCCTCTACCCTCTGTTCTATTGGAAAATGTCACTGGAGAACAAACTGGACGAGCTCCATTCGAGTATACTATCAACGAGACCTGAAGAATTGTAATATTCTATGTTTCTGGGAAATTTGGCAAGAACATGGATAATACACATCTAGCTGGTTTTTCTATGCATCGGCAGGACAGAACAGCCATGTCGGGTAAGATCAAGGGGGGTAGTGTGTGTCTCTTTGTTAACAACAGCTGGTGCGTGATCTCTAATATTAAGGAAATCTCGAGATTCTGCTCGCCTGAGTTAGAATACCTCATGATAAGCTGGAGACCTTACTATTTACCAAGATAGTTTTAATCTATATTTTCCATAGCTGTCTATTTACCACCACAAACCGATGCTGGCACTAAGACTGCACTCACCCAGCTGTATAGGGCCATAAGAAAACAAGAAAATGCTCATCCAGAGGCGGCGCTCCTAGTGGCCGGTGATTTTAATGCAGGAAAACTTAAATCTGTTTTACCTCATTTCAACCAGCATGTCACCTGTGCAACTACATGGCGAAAAAAACTCTAGATCACCTTTACTCCACACTCAGAGACGCATACAAAGCTCTCCCTCACCCTCCATTTGGCAAATCTGACCATAACTCAATCCTCCTGATTCCTGCTTACAAGCAAAAACTCAAACAGGAAGTACCATTGATGCGCTAAACATGGAAGTGGTCAGATTAAGCAGATGCTAACCTACAAGACTGTTTCTCTAGCACAGACTGGAATACGTTCCGGGATTCATCCAATGGCATTGAGTTTACCACATCAGTCACCGGCTTCATTAATAAGTGCATCGACGACATCATCCCCACAGTGAACGTATGAACATATCCCAACCAGAAGCCATGGATTATAGGCAACATCCGCACTGAGCTAAAGGCTAGAGCTGCCGCTTTCAAGGTGCGGGACACTAACCCGGACGCTTATAAGAAATCCCACTACGCCCTCTGACGAACCATCAATACAGGACTAAGATCAAATCCTACTACACAGGCTGTTACTCGTCGAATGTGGCAAGGCTTGCAAACTATCACGGATTACAAAGGGAAACCTAGCCGCGAGCTGCCCAGTGACGCAAGCCTACAAGACGAGCGATCATTTTTCTTCACTGACATTTTCAACCTCTTCCTGACCCAGTCTCTGTTCACTCACGACTGCGTGGCCGTGCACTACTCCAACACCATCATTAAGTTTGCCGACGACATGACGGTGGTAGGCCTGATCACCGATGACGATGAGACAGCCTATAGGGACGAGGTCGGAGACCTGGCAGTGTGGTGCCAGGACAACAACCTCTCCCTCAACATCAGCAAGACAAAGGAGCTGATTGTGGACTACAGGAAACGGAGAGCCGAGCACGCCCCATTTCACATTGACGGAGCTGTAGTGGAGTGGGTTGAGAGCTTCAAGTTCCTCGGTGTTCACATCACTAAGAATCTATTATGATCCAAACAAACCGACACAGTCATGAAGAGGGCACGACAACACCTCTTCCCCCTCAGGAGGCTGAAAATAGTTGGCATGGGCCCTCAGATCAGCTAAAGGTTATACGGCTGCACCATTGAGAGCATCTTGACTGGCTGCATCACTGCTTGGTATGGCAACTGCTTGGCATCCGACCGCAAAGCGCTACAGAGGGTAGTACGTACGGCCCAGTACATCACTGGGGCCAAGTTCCCTGCCATCCAGGACCTCTATACCAGGCGGTGTCAGAGGAAGGCCCTAAAAATTGTCAAAGACTCCAGCCACATCATAGACTGTTCTCTCTCCTACCGCAAGGCAAGCGGTACCGATGCACCAAGTCTGGAACCAACCCTGGTAGGACCCTGTACAGCTTCTACCCCCAAGCCATAAGACTGCTAAATAGTTAATTAAATAGTTAGCCAAATAGCTACGAGGGATATCTGCATTGACCCTTTTTGCATTAACTTTTTTTGACTCATCACATATGCATACAAAGCTAGCCACGTCGCGGAGACTATCACCTTGATCCCGGATAAGCTAAACACCTTCTTCGCTTGCTTCGAGGAAAACACAGTTCCGCCGCCGACTGTGAGCTCGCGTTCTCCGTGGCCGACGTGAGCAAGACATTTAAGCATGTTAACCCTCGCAAGGCTGCCTGCCCAGACGGCATCCCAAGCCGTGTCCTCAGAGCATGTTCAGACCAGCTGGCTGTAGTGTTTACGGACATATTAAATCTCTCCCTATCCCAGTCTGTTGTCCCCACTTGCTTCAAGATGTCCACCATTGTTCCTGTACCCAAGAAAACAAAAGTAACTGAACTAAATGACTATCACAACAGTGAATGTCAGGAAACAGCAGAGAGAGCACGCCCCCATCCACATTGATGGGGAGAAGGGGAGAGGGTGAAAAGCTCTCAAGTTCCTCGGCGTGCACTTCACTGACAACCTGAAATGGTCTATCCACACAGAAAGTGTGGTGAAGAAGTCGCACCAGCACCTCTTCAACCTCAGGAGGCTGAAGAAATTCGTCTTGGCCCCTAAGACCCTCACAAACTTCTACAGATGCACTGCTGAGAGCATCCTGTCGGGCTGTATTACTGCGTGGTACAGCAATTGCAACGTCCACAACCGCAGGGCACTCCAGAAGGTGGTACAGTCAGCCCAATGCATCACCAGGGGCACACTGCTTGCCCTCCAGGACATCTACAGCACCCGGTGTCACAGGAAGGCCAAAAAGATGGACCTCAGTCACCTGAACCACGGCCTGTTCACCACGCTACCATCTAGAAGGCGGAAACAGTACAGGTGCATCAAAACTGGGACAGAGAAACTGAAAAACAGCTTCTATCTTCAGGCCATTAAACTGTTTAAATAGTCACCACTAGCCGGCCTCCACCCAGTACCCTGCCCTAATCTTAGTCAATGTTACTAGCCAGCTACCACCCGGTACTCTACCCTGCACCTTAGAGACTGCTGCCCTATGTACATAGTCATTGAACACTGGTCACTTTAATCATGTTTACACACTGTTTTACCCACTTCATATGTATATACTGTATTGTAGTCAAGGCTCATCCTATATAACTATTGCTGTACACACATTTTCTATTCATATACTGTCCATACTGTCTATAAACACCATCATATACAGTGGGGGAAAAAAAGTATTTAGTCAGCCACCAATTGTGCAAGTTCTCCCACTTAAAAAGATGAGAGAGGCCTGTAATTTTCATCAGAGGTACACGTCAACTATGTAGGATTTTTAATGAATTTATTAGCAAATTATGGTGGAAAATAAGTATTTGGTCACCTACAAACAAGCAAGATTTCTGTCTCTCACAGAACTGTAACTTCTTCTTTAAGAGGCTCCTCTGTCCTCCACTCGTTACCTGTATTAATGGCACCTGTTTAAACTTGTTATCAGTATAAAAGACACCTGTCCACAACCTCAAACAGTCACACTCCAAACTCCACTATGGCCAAGACCAAAGAGCTGTCAAAGGACACCAGAAACAAAATTGTAGACCTGCACCAGGCTGGGAAGACTGAATCTGCAATAGGTAAGCAGCTTGGTTTGAAGAAATCAACTGTGGGAGCAATTATTAGGAAATGGAAGACAGACAAGACCACTGATAATCTCCCTCGATCTGGGGCTCCACGCAAGATCTCACCCCGTGGGGTCAAAATGATCACAAGAACGGTGAGCAAAAATCCCAGAACCACACAGGGGGACCTAGTGAATGACCTGCAGAGAGCTGGGACCAAAGTAACAAAGCCTACCATCAGTAACACACTATGCCGCCAGGGACTCAAATCCTGCAGTGCCAGACGTGTCACCCTGCTTAAACCAGTACATGTCCAGGCCCGTCTGAAGTTTGCTAGAGTGCATTTGGATGATCCAGAAGAGGATTGGGAGAATGTCATATGGTCAGATGAAACCAAAATAGAACTTTTTGGTAAAAACTCAACTCGTCGTGTTTGGAGGAAAAAGAATGCTGAGTTGCATCCAAAGAACACCATACCTACTGTGAAGCATGGGGGTGGAAACATCATGCTTTGGGGCTGTTTTTCTGCAAAGGGACCAGGACGACTGATCCGTGTAAAGGAAAGAATGAATGGGGCCATGTATCGTGAGATTTTGAGTGAAAACCTCCTTCCATCAGCAAGGGCATTGAAGATGAAACGTGGCTGGGTCTTTCAGCATGACAATGATCCCAAACACACCGCCCGGGCAACGAAGGAGTGGCTTCGTAAGAAGCATTTCAAGGTCCTGGAGTGGCCTAGCCAGTCTCCAGATCTCAACCCCATAGAAAATCTTTGGAGGGAGTTGAAAGTCTGTGTTGCCCAGCGACAGCCCCAAAACATCACTGCTCTAGAGGAGATCTGCATGGAGGAATGGGCCAAAATACCAGCAACAGTGTGTGAAAACCTTGTGAAGACTTCCAGAAAACGTTTGACCTGTGTCAATGCCAACAAAGGGTATATAACAAAGTATTGAGAAACATTTGTTATTGACCAAATACTTATTTTCCACCATAATTTGCAAATAAATTCATTAAAAATCCTACAATGTGATTTTCTGGATATTTTTTTTCTCATTTTGTCTGTCATAGTTGACATGTACCTATG